CAATCTGCATGTTCCCATTTCACCTATGTGTCAATATGCAGGGCTAATTCCTAGTAGTGAAAATCCTAGGTCAAAAGGGCATGAGTGTTTGTGGTTTTGATTGCTTTGGATTTTTGTGGCCTTTGCAAAATTGGGCACTGTGGGTACATGACCCATTTTTACTCCCACCAACCAACAGGTGAGACCTGTTTCCTTAAACCCATACCCTCAACTTTTTTTTTTTTTTAGGATTTTCTTTCTTTCTTTCTTTGAGAGAGAGAAAGAGTGATAGCTCCAACAGGGGTTAGGGGGAGGGAGTATAAGGGAGGCAGGAAGGGAGAGGAGAGGAGCAGATGCCCCCAGTAGGGAGCCCAATGTGGGCCTCTATCCCAGGACCCTGAGATCATGACCTGAGCCAAAGGCAGACGCTTAACCAACAGAGCCACCCAGATGACTCTCTTTAACTCTTAATGAAACTTTTTGAGGGTTACAAATATAAGATAAACATGATTTGCGTTTCTCTTATGGTGAATGAGTTTAGGCATCATATATTTGAGAGTCCTTTCATTTCCTTTCCTGTGAAATATGCATACAATTCTTCTGTGCCTTTATTATTGGATTGTTGGTATGTTTCTTATAGATTTGTAGACTTTCATGTTTCAAAATTAGCCCTTTCTCTGCAATATGAATTATATTTTCCCTAGATTGTCATTTATCTGTTAGCTTTTGCCTATGATTCTTTATCATGTATACTTTTTATCTTTTTTTTTTTTTTTTAAGATTTTATGTATTCATGAGAGACACAGGCAGAGGGAGAAGCAGGATTCCTGCGGGGAGCCCAATGCAAGACTGAAACTCCAGGATCACACCCTGGACCGAAGGCAGGCACTTATCCCCGGAGCCACCCAGGTGTCCCACTTTTTATCTTTTTAATATGTTTTTAAATGCATCAGGTGGGCGCCTGGGTGGCTCAGTCAATGAAGTCTCTGCCTTCGGCTCAGGTCATGATCCCAGGGTCCTGGGATCCAGCCCCACACCCATGGGGCTCCCTGCTCAGGAGGAGTCTGCTTCTCCCTCTCCTTCGGCCTGCAGCTCCCCTTGCTTGTACTCTCTAATAAATAAAATCTTTAAAAAATAATACATTTTTATAAATGAATTCATCAGGCTTTTCTTTGAGGACTTCTGTTTTGTTTTCGTACTGTGATGTGAAATCCTGGATTAGAGCCTGAAACAGAAAGGGGGCATTAGTGGGAAAGCTGGCAAAATTCAAATCAGAGCTGTTGATGAGGTCATAGTGCCGCATCAAGCTAATTTCCTGGTTCCCATAATCATGACACATCCATGCAAGATGTTAACACTTGGAGGAGCTGGGGGAAGGGTATTCAGGAAACTGTACTATTTTGCAACTTTTCTGTAGGCCTGACATGTCAAGATATGGGAAGTTTTCTTTCGGATCTCTTATGCTTGTGTTTTTTTGCACTGTGACCTTTGATCTATCGGTAATAGTGGTGGTAAGGTACTGATCCATACTTTTTCCCAGATGGCTACTAGTTTTTTAATAACCTTTATTAACAGATTTCTCTTTTCCCCACTGGGGTTTTTATTTTTTAAATTGTTGATTTAATTTCTAAACTGTCAGAAGTAACATACCATGAAATTTGCCATCTTAACCATCTTGAGGCATGTGGCTCACAGCATAAAGTACGTTCATATTGTCTTACAACTGGTCTCCAAGACTCTTTTCATCTTGCAAAACTGCAACCCTCTTACCCCTGCAACAACTCCCAACCCCCTACCCTCAGCCCCTAGCATCCACCATTCTACTTTCCCTCTGTAGGACTCGGACTACCCTAGTATTTGTCTCCTGGGACTGGCTTATTCTGATTGATGAGCCACTGACTTCACAATAAAATGAAAGCCCACTTCTGATGCTAGTTGGCAAAGCCTCTGGTGTTGACTAAGAGACGGATAGTTGAAGTGCTCATAGTACCTACTTCTGGAGTGTGGGTGAAGGGAGCTATGCACAGAGAAGTTAAGTGACCCATTGCCAATCACACAGCCAAGAACAGGATGAACCCAGGATGGACTCCACAGCTTGTTCCCATAGGCTGTGCCCTGGACAAGGGCTCATGTAAGAGAGCCAATGCTTGGAAACCAGCGGCGTTTACATGGACAAAAGGCAGGTGAAGCTATCCAGAGAGCAGCGTTCAGGAACACATAAGGGGCAAGGGCAGGAAGCAACCCAGTAGCATGTCCCCAGGGACTGACCAGCTGTAAGCACAGTCAATATTACACAAGCCTGAGAAGCAGCCAGAAGAGTGGGAGGTGAAGGAGGGGAACTATTTTTCAGAGGCCAGAGAACAAATTTCAAAAGGCAGGAGTAGGGCAGCCCTGGTGGCTCAGCAGTTTAGCGCCGCCTTCAGCCCAGGGCATGATCCTGGAGTCCCGGGATTGAGTCCCATGTCAGGTTCCCTGCACGGAGCCTGTTTCTCCCTCTGCCTGTGTCTCTGCCTCTGTGTGTCTAATAAATAAATAAAATCTTAAAAAAAGGCAGGAGTGGTCAACATATTAGATGCTGAAAAGAGATCATGCCAAAATCTGAGAAATGCCCTCCAGATTTAGAAACAAGGATTGGTGATGAGCCATTTCTTGGGATGGTGGGGGCAGGAACTGCTGATAAATGTTTAACTAGCTATCTGGGAGCACCTGGGTGGCTCAACCGGTTACGGTTACGCCTCTGCCTTCAGCTTAGGTCATGATCTCAGGGTCCTGGGAGCGGGGAGTCTGCTTCTCCTTCTCTCCCTCTGCTACTCCCGATTGTGCTCATTCTCTCTCTGTGTCAAATAAATAAAATCTTAAAGAAACCCCCAAAACAACCAGTTCTCCAGAAATAGTATGAGCTTATGTATGTGCGTGTTTATTATCTTACTGATACAAAGGATGTGTAACAGAATTTACAAGTAATAATAAAAGACAATATTGTTTATTGTAAATTCCACTTTTGCTTTCATGACTTCATAGATGGAGTTGTGTCCCAACCACAGGAGTAGCTCCAGTATGAATGCTGGTTGATACTTTTATTTATATTTTTGAGGAAGACAAAAATGAAACACTGAGAGTATGCTCTCATGGTATGTTACTTCTGACAGTTTAGAAATTAAATCAACAATTTAAAAAATAGGGATCCCTGGGTGGCGCAGCGGTTTGGCGCCTGCCTTTGGCTCGGGGCGCGATCCTGGAGACCCGGGATCAAATCCCACATCGGGCTCCCAGTGCATGGAGCCTGCCTCTCTCTCTCCTCTCTCTCTCTCTCTGTGACTATCATAAGTAAATAAAAAAAAAATTTAAAAAAACAATTTAAAAAATAAAATCAGAGACTTCACTCTTTCTTCAATGACTGACTTCTTTGCTGAATCTGACAATAATGTTCAACCGCCAGGGCAATATATCTTCCATTTTGTGTGCTATTCACAATGTAATGGTTACAGGCAGGACATTTTATTTTTTAAAAATATTTTATTTATTTTATTTATTCATAGAGACACAGAAAGAGAGAGAGAGAGAGAGAGAGAGAGAGAGAGAGAGAGAGAGGCAGAAGCACAGGCAGAGGGAGAGGGAGGAAGCTCCATGCAGGGAGCCCAACATGGGACTCGATCCAGGGTCCCCAGGATCAAACCCCGGGCTGCAGGTAGCGCTAAACCGCTGCGCCACTGGGGCTGCCCAGGCAAGACATTTTAAAATTTAATATGCATTATTAACATTTTCTCCATTGTCTTCTTAAATCTAGACAACAAAGCCTGATGCACGCGTTCGCCAATTTCTGTAAATACTCCTACCAGGGCCAAATTCAAAATCCCAAATTGATGTCTATAAGTTGCGAAGAGATACACACAAGTAGTAGCCCATTATTATATAGCACTCCCACTATACAAATATGATAAATGTAAATAAGCTCAAATAGTAAATAATACTATTTACTATTAGCACATTATAGTAAAATGTAGAAGATAATCAGGAACCTGAAACTAATGGACTATTGCGCATCAACTATACTCAATAAAAAATAAAATAAAATTCCTAACAAACTTAAAAAAAGAAACAAGAAAAAGGAATCAGGAAGTAATGAGTTTGAGTATTACCTCTGTTTTTAAGTATAATGTTTGCATAATTTCTGATAATAGCTGTTATCCAACTAGCCCACAGTGTTTCTGAAAAACAAGCTGGCTTTCAGAAATCAGTGAACCACACCACTAGCGGGGTGGGGGGATGGGATTTTCCTGAACCCATAACCTTGGCCGGGCTCCAAATGTCCACCTTCCTGGCCTCAGGCACAATCTGACCTAACGCAGACTGCTCCTCCAGGAGCACCAGTCCTGTCACCCGGGGCAAAAGATTCCCTAGACCAGGGCATCTGGAAGTCTCCGTGGTAGTTCTTCCCACAGTGTGCTGCTCAGTGCCTCTGGGAGTAGGGGAAAAGCGCTTCTTGCTCCTCTCCATGAGTCACAGGATCCGTGCTGGCTGAGGCTGAACTTGGATCAGAGTCACAACTATTCCCTCAGTACCTTCCCGGATGCTCTGCATATACTTCAATGCTCAGTAAATATTCATTGAATAAATGCCCAGGATAAAGGGCTGCCAGAAGGGACAGGCGTGAAGGGAAGGGCCTCCCCAAAATGCCTGTCCTTGGAAGTCAGCTTAGGATGCCCTGGGCTCCACCCGGTGGGAGTGAAACTATAGAGAGCAGCTTTGGGGACAGACACTGAGCCTTCCTGGACAACAGGTCTTTGGGAACATCCACCCTAGGACAGGGGCAAGAGCCTCTGCGGCGAACACACGGCTTCGTGCCGGACACACGGCTTCTCTGTAGTGAATCGAGACCGTGAAATCCAAACACGCGCAGCCCCACCCCCTGCAGAGGTCCCACCTGCAACGGCGACGAAAGCGCGAACAACCCCTCCGCCCCAGGAGCCGCTGAAATCTGCCCGTTCACACAAATATGAAAGAGAAGATCGTCAGGGAGAATCAGATAGGAGCAGCCGGGGTGTTGCAAGTCCCGGCTACGCAGAGACGCTAATCACGAATCATGCGAGCTCCAATCATCATGTTCCGAGCTGCCCTCCCGAAGGAGGAACAGGTAAGGATTATCCTACCTGACGATGGCAGGTGTCCGTGCGCCTTCCTTACTCAGGGCACACCATGCCGCTATCGGCTAGGGCGAGTAAAGAGCACGCTAGCCCCAGCAACCTGCGGCTATCTAGGATCTGCCATCTCTATTGCTATATGTTTTGCAGATATTAAAAAACATTCCCCCCCCCATTTGGCTGCATAAAAACATAAACCAATGTCTCCCAGAATGCTCCACTCCAGAGCTTGGCACGCTAACCGCGGACGCCGCTGGATATTTACATATCCCCGCCCACCCCCTTCCGCCAGACGCTACCGTAATAACCAAAATAAAAGCGATACCTCTGATTTTTTTTTACAGTCTGCAAGGCTGGAAGAGAGCCTTCCGTTTCTCCAAGTAGTGTGGCTACCCCAGGACTCCCCTAAAAGTTTTGTAAGTCTTGATCTGACTCTAAAATATATTTTATTACAAAGCACTAAATAAAACGATGATCATCGCAGGTTGGAGTGATAATTAGCCTAACGCGAACACTGACATCTTCCAACTGCAGGGTCAGAGGGAGGACTGTAGACTGCCTTCCTTGTTCTGGCAATGCTGAGTGGTCCCCTGCTCCTCCAGCCTTCATCCCTGTGCTCGCGTCAGGAAGGTATCAGAAAGGTTTCTTTTTCAGCCCGAAGACACTGACGAATAATGCCATTTCGGTGACAGCTGGGAGGGCACTGCGGACAGAAGGTGATGGGTTCAAGGCTCCTTCCAAGAAAATGACCCACATTCCCAAACTACAGACTCCACCCTCAAAGTGTGGGAGAGGGGGACTTCAAGGGACTACAGGATGTGGAGTGGGTCTGGTTTCTTCTGCATGGACATGGAGTAAAGGCCCGGGTAGTGGGGGTGGGGGGTGGGGGGTGGAGAAGAACCTTCAGATTGAGTAAACCTTCCTCCCCCATCCCCAAACATTGGATGCTACCGTACCTGCAGAAGACAAAAATATACCAGTAAGTGGTGCACTCCCAACGTTCGAATATGAAAAAGGATAGGGCCACCGAGGCACTACAGTGAGCTGCAATGGCTTCAGAATGCACCAGAGTCAAGGAAAGCCTTCAGTTCAATAGGTAGAATAAGTAGTGATGAGCCAGGAAAGGCCATTGCTGGGACTGACACCTGCAACTCAGGTTCCCTTATTGCTCCCTCGCCACGCTGCAAAGGCCAGAACCAGCAACCCTGACTTCTAAATTTAAGGACAGCCATGTGAGGGGCGCCTGAGTGGCTCAGGCAGTGAAGTGTCTGCCTTCTGCTCAGGTCATGATCCCAGAGTCCTGGGATGGAGTTTGGTGTCTGCTTCTCCCTCTTCCTCTGCCTGCTGCTCCTGCTGCTTGTGCTCTCTCTCCCCCTGTCTTTCTGTCTCTCTCTCTCTGTCAAATAAATAAATAAATAAATATCTTAAAAAAATAAAATAAAAAGAAGAAGAACCGTGTGAATAGAGACCAGGGCTGGGCCTGCAGCGCTGGGACCCCAGGCTACCCAAACCCCGGTATCCAGGGGCTAGCCTGGACCATTCAGGTCCAGGACCTGGCTCCCCATACAACCCAGGCACACAAGAATGCTCACAGTGACTTGATACGCCGCTGGAATCACCATGCAGCACCCTGGTCCTCCCCGTCTACAGTTCAAGCATCAAGAGCCTTCCCTGATTCATCCTCCTCATTTGTCTTTATTTCTGTATTCATTTTGCTGTCTGAGTTTCTATAGAGCTTCAAATCTTGGCGCACGCCCTTAGCACAGTGCTTCTCACAGTGAATTACAGATGTCTGTGTCTCTGCCTCTTCCTCGAGGTACAAAACTGTTTTACTCCCTTTTGGGATCTCCAGCATCTGGTGCATCGCGGGGAGCTTAACAAACGATTGAAGATCGTATTAAGTCTTCCACACTACCTAAGATGATCTATCAACTGGACAGACTGCCCGCCAGAGCACACACCATTGCGCCAGAAAAGCCTAGTTAGGTAGCTCCCCACCTAGGAGGGAAACAATGGCCTGTGCATAAAAGGATACAGATGAGGCTCTGGGTGCTGTTGAACATGGAAACTCCTGAGAAGAAACCGGCTAGCTCCACGGCAAAGAGGCCCAGCGTGACAGAGAGCGCTGCCACCAGCCTGCAGAGAGGAAGGAGGCGGGCTCGGGCCCTCTGGACTTCGTCAAAGACCCCTCCACTCCCGCTGCTGCTGACTTCTGAGCCCGAACCCCGCCCCCACCCCACGTGCTCACTGAATGTCCTGCTGCTCATACTCCTCCGGGGTGAACGTGAGAGGCAGGCAGGCCTGGACGTTGCTGTCCTGGGGAGCAGGGCAAAGAGGAACAAAGTGAAAGAGGGGCGGGCTGCGGGGCAGCACTGGGGTCACAGGGTATGGGAGGACCCTCCACGTACGGCCCTGGGGAAGGGGCATGGGGGGCTGGGAGCACCCCAACGTAGGGATCCGGTGGGGGCGGGAGGGGGCGAGAGGGGGGTGGCCGTGGGTCTTACCCGCGACCAGAACAAGGTGATGACGACCACTAGATGCGCCAGAAGCGTCAGGAAGCGAGAGGGTACGAGCCCCGAGATCCGCCCCATGGCCCCGCCGGCGCAGGGGAACCGACGGGAGCGGAGGCCGCGCTCGGCGGGGCTCAAGGCTCGGGAAACGCCCTCTGCTCAAGCCTCGCAGGCCCGCACGCAAAAATTCTACCGACGCCTCCTTCCCGCTCGCGCTGACACCGCCCAGTTGCCTTGGCAACCGCGTCCACCGGCGTTGCGGCGGGATCTCGGCAAATCTCGCGAGAGCAGTCCATTCTCGAGCGGCGGCGGCGGCCCCGGGCCATGACGCAAGCCAGGGCTCGGCTGCGGGGGGCGTGGTCCGGAAAGACCCTCCGCCGGCGGTGCTCTCGTGAGACAGCGGTCCCGCCCTTGCCGGCGTGAGGGCGCCGCCGGGTCTAAGGCCGGGTCTCTGCGTCTGTCTGTGTCTGTGTCTGTGTCTGTCTCTCTCGGGAGGTGGATGTCCCTGCGTCGTCCGGCCATCACTCCTTAGATGATTACGGAGCCCCAGGCCGTCACAGGACCCGGGACCGGAACCTTCCCTGATCCTCTGACCCCCGCCGCGAGTCCCCAGACGACTTTGCTCCGTTTGGTGGGGGGAATGGCAGAGAGCAGAAAATGGCCAGCCCTCTGCGTGGCTGAGGGGCGCGTGTGGGGAAGGGGGCAGGTGACCGGCTGAGGGCGCGCAACCCTGCCGCCCCGGGGGAGGCCAGGCTGCAGTCTCTGCTGGGATTTCCTTCCCTCCCTGACTTCGCCCAGCTGCATCCCAGAAGCTCTGCCTGTCGGTGTCCTCGGTGACCTTGGGGCCCCGGCTGCGAGATCTGAGATCCTTGCAGAACGGAAAGTTCTCGTCAGCCCGGCTTCCAGATCATCTCCCTCCCTGCCTCCTCTGCCTCGCAGTGCTTTCTGGCCGAGCTCCGGCCGGGGGGGGCGGGGGTGGGGGGATTTCTAATTTCGTGCAACAAATATTTATGCAAGTGCTGGGCTCCTGTTCTTGACAAGACAGAAGGCTCACTACCTTCCTGGAGTTTTTTGTTTGTTTGTTTGTTTTTTAAGATTTTATTTATTCATTCATCAGAGAGACAGGGGGGCAGAGACAAACTGGCTCCATGCAGGGAGCCCGATGTGGGACTATGACCCAAGGTCTCCAGGATCAGGCCCTGGGCCAAAGGCAGGCGCCACACCGCTGAGCCACCCAGGGATCCCGAGTCATTTATTCTTAAACTTTGTTGTAGGAAACATCAAAATTGAGAGGAAACGCATTTCTCTATTTGAGGACCCCAATATAATTTCCTTTTTTCTAAACCAGTGCGTAAAAATGCAGCTCAAAGAGCAAAGAGACGTTTGCTCAAGGTCACGAAAGAGGAAGACTGGAAGAACTCTTCCAGATTTAGGGAGACTTTATAAAGACCTGTGACATATTTGATGAGAAATATCATGAACCTGGGACGAGAAAAAGAAACCCAAAGACCTTCTTCTCTTTTATTGCAAAGGACATTAGTGGAACACTTGGCAAATTGGGAATAAGGTCTCTAGTTTAGGCTTCAGTATTATCAGTGTTAATTTCCAGATTTTTGATAATTCCGCCTTTAGGGAAGAGAATGTATTTTCTTACTAGAAAATACACTCCTGAAATAGGAGTGAAGGACCATTATGTCTGCAATTTACTCTCAAATGGTTTAGAAAAATACATGTGTGTCTGTAGAGATAGAAAGAGAGGCAATAATAAAATGAACATTGAACATTGTCCTGAAGGCACATGGGAATTCTCTTTATTATGTATTTATATTTATATCTATTTTTATAAGTAAGCCTTCTACCCATCTGGGGCTTGAACTCACGACCCCAGATAAACAGTCACATCCTTTAGGGACTGAGCCAGCCAGGTGCCCCTCTATATTATTTTTGCATTTTTTCAGTAATTCAAGTTATTTAAAGTAAAAGGTTTTATTATTTTTATTCTTTTTTATTTATGATAGTCACAGAGAGAGAGGGAGAGGCAGAGACATAGGCAAAGGGAGAAGCAGGCTCCATGCACCGGGAGCCCGATGTGGGATTCGATTCCGGGTCTCCAGGATCGCGCCCTGGGCCAAAGGCAGGCGCCAAACCGCTGCGCCACCCAGGGATCCCTTTTTTTTTTTTTTTTTTAATTTAAATAAAAGGTTTTAAATGACAACCCTTTCTGTTTTCCTTCTGGGTCTTCTGTAGTAGTATCATTAAGGCATTAAGTTGCTTTATAAAAAGAAGGAATGTTTTCTAGGACTGATGGTCCCTACATGTTGAACTCCTATATACTGAAACTATGCAGTGACATTTTCACATTAAACCACCTCTTTAAGATTAAGGCAATACAGCCTTAATCTCATAACGGAGACTATGTGGTCACCAAAACTCGTAAACTAAAAAACAAAATATTTTAGACTTTTCAGAGGAATTATTTGTATAAAGGGTAAGATTCAGCCAAGTCTCTTATTTTTTTACTCCTAAAATTTTGGATGGTAATGAAATATTCCCTGCACGGGTTTCTGAGCTCTCAGGTGTGTAGGGGAGGTTCTCCAATTGTCGAACTGTTTTAAAGTCCTGAAAATATTTTCAAACCTCCCCCACCTCAGGAGGGGAGAGACAGGCAAAATACAGTGGACCCAACTGCTTCTCATCCTTGAGGTGACCTTCACCAGCATGAGACCTTCAATACAGTGATAATGTTGACGTCCTAAGTCCAATGAGGGGGGCTCCATGTGCTCTCCACCATGGGAAATACAGAAGTCAGCACAGGGAACACGGAAATAATTCTGAGCACACATATAAGATGCAAGGACTGAAGGTTGCCTCCGTCTGCCTATAACTCACATGATTTTTTTCCTAGGAATGGGAAGCCCAGGTCTTCAGAACAAGCTCCCCCAGTGACAGTTTATCAAATCTGACTATTCACAAAGAAAGCACTGTCATCCAGTGAAAGGGAGCAAAACCCAGGACCTGTTTTTTGCAAAATTTTCCAAGGTCCCGGAACAAACAGAATGAAGAGGAGTCAGCCATGTGGAGATGCTGCGGGAAAAGTACTTTCCAGGCCGAGGCAGAGCAAGTGCAAAGGTTCTTAGGTTGGAAGGTGGCCAGTGTGTGTTCATTGACCAGAAAGGAAGCTAGCATATCTGAAGTCTAGTAACCAAAGGGGAAGAAGAGATCAGGGTAGAGTGGGGTGGGGTGGGGTGGGGTGTGGTGAGCAGACAAGGTGCATGGCTTTGCCGCCATGGGAACAGACCCGGTAGGTCTGTATTCTAGAAGATGCAACGCGGAGAATTGATTTTGAGATGTTAAGTAACAGGCTTGTGAAGAAGCCAACAGACAGAATGAGAGTGGACCAGGGTGGAATAAAGAAAGTGGAGCAAAGTGTAAGGAATCAAGAGATCATTAAAAGATAGGAAGATCTAAACATGGGGCTCTGAGTAGGTGGAAAAAAGGAAGGGGTCAAGGTTGACGGTGAGTTAGATTTTGGGCTCCCGCAATGGAAAGTTTGGGGTATTCTGTTTATAATAGGCTTCCTGCCCCGGGAACCTACTAGATAGTAAGAACTCGGTAGTCACATTTCACATTATGAATTAATAAACAGTGAGCAGGTGTTTAGGTCTATCCCCTTGCTCCCCATGACTTTCGTTCACAGAAGTGTGCTCCGCAGAGGTCACACAAAAGTGAGTGTTAGAGCTACCCCGTGGAGGTACTGCTGGTGACCAGGTGTCCTTCCCTAAGGGAGAGGGGTGAGGTGAGGGGCGGGGTCCCCTGGCCCCAGGGTCGAAACCCACACCTCCTAACATTTGATTTGGTCAGAAAAGAGCTTAGGGGAAAAAAATATTTTCAGCATGGAAAAATTCAAATAGATGTAAAAATAAAGAAAATTGGAGGATGAACCCCTTCAAAGCCTGCCATTCTGCTCCGACGGTTGCCACTACGCGGCCACCCTTGTTTCAGCAAGACTTTCCTGGCTCCCTCCCAGGCCCACCAGGTTTTTGCAGAGCAAATCCCAGACATGACCAAAGAGCTCAGGTTGCCCAATACCCATCATATGTACATATGTCCATATGTTGCACTTGGTTGATGTGTCTCTTAAATCCTTTTCTTTCTTTCTTTCTTTCTTTCTTTCTTTCTTTCTTTCTTTCTTTCTTTCTTCTTTCTTTCTTTCTTTCTTTCTTTCTTTCTTTCTTTCTTTCTTTCTTTCCTTCCTTTCTCATCTTAGATTGTTCCTTCTTGTTCTCCTTCCTTGCAATTTCTCTGATCAAGACACGGGGCCCTTTATAGGCAGTTCTCTGGTCTTGCCATTTAACCCGTTCCTCCTCCTTCTTGTAAACTGGTTGTTAGATCTAGTAGTGGTTGAGGAGTCTCACATTCGATTTCCTGGTAAATAGACACCTTGGGAGTTGGCCTGTCCTTCCTATTCCATCACATCAGAAGGCTAATCCTGGCTGCTTGCCTGTCTCTCTTTTTCTGGTGTTAAATCTGAGCGCTGGATTCAGGTGTAGTCAGACTGAGGCTGGCATTATAAAGTTCCCGTCAGCTTTTCACCTACTGCTTTCATTGACCACCACTGCCTCGCTGCATTATTTCATGAGGAGTTGCAAAACAGGGATGTCTTAATTCCATCCTTCTTCTCTGTGCTTGTCACCTGTTATACTTCTATAAGTAAGAATGTGCCTTCATCAACTCATTGTTTACCTTGAGATATAGGTCATACAGGAAAAGCTGGATAAATGTGTGATTTCTTTTCCCCCATTACTTACCACTTTTCAGAATAATAAGTTGATTCCCTACCTTCCTCCACAAGGGACCAATTCATTATTCTTAAGATCATTGTGAACTGGTAGATTTAACATCTTTTGTCAGTTTTGGGAGACAGCAACTACTCAGCTTCAACTTCAGACAGTTGTTTTGAGGAAGGAGATAGAAGTCCAGCATTACCAGATTCCTGAGAGTTTTGTTGTGGTTGCTGTTATTTTGTTTTAAGAGAGGCCAGAAATCCAGATTGTTACTCCAATTATAAATGTTAGTAGCCAACTTAATGGTGGAAAAAAATGAAAAGGAAGAAAAATAACCTTGATGACAGCATACAGCATACGACAGCCTCAAGCCACCAGCTTTCAGCCTCTGGATCAGCTCTGTCCAACAGAACTTTCTATGATGACGGAA